GAGGGCAAAATGGATGGGTGATGTGTTGGGTATTTTGGCTTGGCTAGTGAGGTGAATATTTGGTGGTTGGGGAGTGATTCATTCTGCCATAGTGGGGGACAGTGGGGTGTGAGAAATATGGCTTTTATAGGGTGGCTTTTATGGTGGTTTAAAGGTCAAAGTAATCAAAAATATCCCTTGGCTTGTTGTGCTTGTTATTTCGGTTGTACTAGGGGACAAGGGGGGGACAATGTTTGTGGGATGTTGGGTGATGAAATATGGTTGTTTGGCTTGGTGTGTTTCGGCCCTAGCTTAGGGAAATGAAAAGGAAATTGACTTATGGTTTTTTCTTTTGGCACAAAACGTGTTATTTTGATGGAGTGATTCAAGTAGGGAGTGGGGTAGTCTGGGCAGGGTATACGGCTCTTTTTAGGATGGAGATAGGCTCAAGGTTGTCAGGGTTAAGTAATATGGTTTGGGGTTGGAGAATTCATTCCAGAAAGGATCGTAACACTTAGACATGATTCCACTGATTTGTTTAAGGATTTGAGGATCAGGTGTAGTACTAGGGGATATAACACAGACTCCCTGATTAGTCGGAATTCCTCCATCCACATTCAGAGGCCTAGCCACCTCCCACCATTCCTCAAAGCTCCGCCTGGCTTTGATCCACGTGTTCAAAGCTGTTGGGTTCTCACCGTGCCAGACACGACCATTTCTGTCTTTCCATATAACCCACAAACTATGAAGAGTAAGGGCTTGATCTTGAGAATTGAATAAATTAAAAACTGCCTTAAACCACTGTTTGAAAGTTCCAGCAGTTGGTACAAACCAGCCCAGGTGAGAAGAAGCCCAAACACTACGAGCAAATCTGCAGGTAACCAAAACATGGAACACAGACTCCTCTGCTGCATAGCACAAGGGACAAACATCCAAAACATTGACATGTTTCTTGACTAAATTGGTTAAACAAGGGAGCACATGCATAGTTGTGAATGGCGAATGGCGAGAGGCGGGCGAGAGGTTATTTTTTATGGCGAGAAGCGTGGCGAGCGGCGGGCGGTCAAATGGCGAACATTATAGAAATAAATAAATAAATAAATAAATAAATAAATATAAATATAAATAAAAATATATATATATATATATATATATATATATATATATATATATATATATATATATATATATATATCCTTTAGTCTTAAACATACATAATTATCAAAGTAAAAAACATAATAAAATAAATAAAATAAAAAATATAAGAATAAAATTGGGGACTTGCGCTTAAGAGGGGTGTGACTTGGTGCGTCGCACAGTTGCGTAGCCCGAGGAAAAAAATTCTGATAAAAAAATTCCACTGAGAGCCCGAGATCTGAAGTGCGATGATGTCTGGAACCACTTGTGCTGAAGATGAAGAGTCTGCGAAGGACTCTGGAGAAGTTTATCGATCGTGAGAATGCAACGATCCGAAGTGACGCGCGATTAAAATCATTAATTAGGTCAAGGTTATCTTTTTAAAGTTGACCACACGCAAGGCGTGGATGGCGCACGCCATTCGCCAAACACCCAGGCGGCCATGGCAACCGCCAATGGCGCGCCTCGCGTAAATCGCCACGCCACTGTGAAGACTGGCGGAATATGGTCGCCACAAAGCCTTTAGCGCTATAAGCGTAAAAAGCGCTCGCCATTCACAACTATGAGCACATCATTTACCGCACGCCAGGCCAAATTCCTCACTTTTGGGAGCACGCAAATCTGCCAAAGCTTCCTCCATATTTCACATTCAGCTTCCGGAACCTGCTGCCCATCTTCATGCATGAGAAGTTTGTATGCACTTTTCACATAATATTTACTAGATTTGTCATTGGTCCATACCAGCATGTCTTCATGTTCCATGCATAGTTGTATGGCGAGTGGCGGACGAGAGGTCCTTTTTTATGGCAAGAGGCGGGCAGTCAAATGGCGAATATATATATATATATATATATATATATATATATATAATACACACACACACACACACACACACACACATATATATATAATGTTTTAGTCTTAACTTATTATTAACTCTTAAACAAACATAATAATCAAAGTAAAACATGAGTTGTTGGTAAAACAAAAAACAAACCAATGTTCCAAGCTATTAGTCATTAAGCATTGCAAAATATAGTACTTAAAAAGAAAGCAACAGAAATAATTAGTACAAAAAAATATATCTATAAGAATATAATAATACACATAGTGAAAAAGAATAAGACTAGAAAAACAAAAAATAATTAGTGACATAAATACATAATCTGTGACCTGCAGTTGTGTCAATCAAGCAAGCAAGACATTAAACAAAATCTGAAAATCAAAATAATTATAATAATCATCATCATTACACATTATATGGGTTAAAAAGATCAATTAAAAACAGGGGAATGTACCTACATGGTACTAAAACATAGTGACTTTCCCAATGTAGTACCATATGTTTTTATTTCCCAATGTAGTACCATATGTTTTTATTTCCCAATGTAGCACCAGTGTACCACTGGTCATTGTTCATTGGTCATTGTTCAAGTAAATGTCCATTGCCATTGGACATTGTTCAAACTAAATGTCCATCATCACTAGACATTATTCCCACCACTAGACATTATTCAAGTACTATTTAGGGAATACAAAAGTTAAAGTACTACATTGGGAAATGACATGTTTTAGTACGATTTAGTACAAATTTCACTTAAAAAAATTAAGCATATTATCTACAGAGTTGAGCATGGTTTAAGTTGGACTTGCACTGGGCTGGGGATAAGTAATAGCATTGTTCCCCTGCCAATTGCAATGAAGATCTCCAGAAGAATCAAGACTCTGCGACCCACAATGGACTCTGGAGCAGTTTCGATCTTGGGGAGCCCCACAATTTCGATCGGATGTATTGAAACGACACATCAAGGTCAGTTTTCTTTTCACATGCGTAAGGCGTGGATTGCACTTGCCACTCGCCACAAACCATGGCGACTGCCTATAGTGCGCCTCCCGTAAAACGCCATGTCACATCCGTCCCATGCGGAATTACCTCGCCACAACGCTTATAGTGCCATAAGCGCAAAAAGCGCTCGCCATTTACAACTATGGTTCCATGTATGAAAGGGGAATAGCTTGTAAGTTGGCGATCTCGAGCCCCAAAAGCTGCATCAATCTTCGTCCAATCCCGACATCTATTCACTATGAGATCCGAAACTCGTTGAATGTCATTTCGCCCTGGGTTAAGTGGGTTAACTGAAACTACCCAAGGGTGGTTTTTATCAGCTAACCATGGGTCCTCCCAAACACAAATGTCACTACCACTTCCCACCTTTCAGCTCAATCCCCTACGACGGACTGTTTGGGTCTGCACCATGCTTTTCCAAATATAACTTGTGAGGACCTGACTCCCGTATCAAGAAAACTCGTCCATTGAAAGTACTTAGCCTTAAAAATATGAGAAACAAGGAGGTCGGCACAATGTATAAATTTCCATGCCATCTTTCCAAGCATTGCAAGGTTAAACTCACGAACCCGCTTAAAGTTAAGGCCTCATAAAAACTTATCGGAACATAATCGCTCCCAGCGCATCCAATGAATACCACGTTGGTTTTGTGATCCACCGCTCCACCAAAATCTTGTCATAAGTCTTTCAAGTTCCCCACATAAGGTTTTCGCAAGTAAAAAAAGAGACAGCATATGTAGGAATGGCCTGCAGAACTGATTTAAGAAGGATCTCTTTCACTGCTTGCAAAAGAATTTTATTCTTCCACGAGGTAAGTCGTTTCCACATCTTGTCCCGGATAAAACCGAGAGCCTCTCTTTTATTCCTTCCTAATGAAGCTGGTAACCCAAGATAACGACCAATATCCTCCTTTTCCATAACTCCACGAGTACCACAAATGCTAGCCCGATTCTGTAAAGATGCATTAGGGATGAAGCAAATAGCTGATTTTGAGAAATTAATAAGTTGGCCTGAAGCTTCATCATATGAAGTAAGAGCTTCCTGAACATGACTTGCCTCTTCCTGTGACGCCTTGAAAAATAATAAACTTTCATCTGCAAAGAAGAGGTGGCTGATAGAAGCAGCCCTCCTATGCAACTTTACAGCCCGTAATCGCCACCACCAACGCTTTATGTTGAATAAGCCTTGATAGTCCTTCTGTTCCAATAATAAAAAGATATGGCGATATGGGGTCTCCTTGTCAGATACCACGAGGAGGAACAATAGGCCCAATGCTTCTATGTCCATGTCTAATCGTATAAGATGCCAAGCTAACACAACTCATAAGTAGACTTTTAACCCTTTCATCAAATCCCATGGCGCCAAGCACTCCTTCCAAGTACAACCACTGCGTTCAGTCGTAAGCCTTGCTAATATCAATTTTCAGGGTTTCCCATCCTACTTGACCCCAACGTCTATTCCTCAAGCAATGCATGGTCTCATAAGCAATAGCACAACAATCATAAATATCTCGCCTAGGCACAAATCCACTCTGATTTTGAGAAATAAACTTTGGGAGGGGCTTCACCCGATTAGCTATCACCTTGCTCATAATTTTGTACAAGACCCTACACAGAGCAATCGGCCGCAAATCTCCCATCTCCTCTGGTTGGTGTATTTTTGGAATTAAAACAATATCAGTCACCCCCAAGTCTGCCGGAATCCAGCGTTAAGGTCATGAGTACAAAAAGATGATATCTCCGAGTCAATAATATCCCAAAATCATTGAAAGAAACCCGGATTAAATCCATCTTCACCAGGAGATTTATCGGGGTGCATAGCGAATAAAGCGGCCTTCACTTTAGCTTCTATATACGGGTGTAACAACTCATTATCCTCCCTGGACACCACTTGCAGTATGAGATCAAAAATTGCTGCCCCACCTGTACCTTGTGCAGTAAACAAATTGCCAAACTGTCATGGTCTCTTCAAGACCAGTTCCCCATTTATGCCAAACACCTTCCCCATCTTTCAGCTTCTCAATTTTGTTTTTCATATTTTTATCTGTAGCTCATGAGTGAAAGAATTTTGCATTGCGATATCCATCTGTCAACCAAAATTCCTTGGCCCGTTGCTTCCAAAATTGCTCCTTTTGTGCATAGAGATAAAAAAGCCGCTGCCTGGAATGTTGAAACAACAACCTACTGTGATGATCCCTGCGTCCTATGGAATTTGTCATGTTAGATCTCATCAAGTCGATTTCCCGAGCAAACCTTTCTTTCCATTCAACACCCCAGACATATAGACGTTCCGCGCAGAAATGAAGCTTCTGTTCTAATGAACCTCATATGAAACTTGCAAACAGTCTAGAACCAAATTCCTGCAAGCCTTGTTGCGAACCCAAGCATTCTCGAATCTAAACCTGTAAGCTTCTTGTCTTGGAACCCATACCCTCATTCTTAGGCGTATGGGCAGATGGTCTGTGGAAGAAACATCATAAGTAGTAGCATGAGCAAGTGGGAATTTCTGTCTCTAGGACACAGAAGCCAAGAAATTATCAAGCTTTTCCTCGACACGTGCATCTCCATATCTTCCATTATCATAAGTTAAAGCATATCCACTCATCGGGAAGTCAGTGAGTCCCGCATCATCCACGGCATCACAAAAAGTTTGAATAAGATAACGAGCCTTAGGACGACCTCCTCTCTTCTCATACCCATCCAAAATTGCATTAAATTTGGCACAACAAATCCATGGGAGAGAGTTAACCTGGGACAAGCTTTGAAGTAAATCCCAAGTTTAACTCCTCCTACTTTGTTCAGGGTGACCATAGAATCTAGTGTGCCTCCACTTTTCCAAAGTTGGGTCATCACTATGACCGATGGCATCCACCCAAGAACAAGAATCATAGCTAAAAAAGTTTCGATATCCTCAATTCTCGACGAACTACATAAACTCTCAATAAGAAAAATAAACATTGGTTTAACATCCCTTATAATGGCTTGTAAGGTATGAACTGCTCATTGGTTGCCAAGGCCACGAAAATTCCAGCTAATGCAGCTCATTGAGGGAGAAAGTTGATCACCTTGTTCCCAAATATCAGCTCACCATCCTCATCGTCCCCAAGAAAAACAACCAAGCAAATTCAACATCAATAATCTCCAAAAGCATACTGTAGCAGAAGCCCCAAAACTCTAACAAAAGGGACCAAACTCTAGCCACCAGACGATAACTCTCACGATGAGAGACGAACTCCAAATTGAAGAATTCTAAAACGTGTGAGCAAATGACTGGGTGAGAAACAAAATCTGAATTTGAAATATAAACAGTACCAGAGAGATCAACTCTGTAAAGCAAGAGGTACAAAACAGGATGTCCGCTAGTAATCGGTGTGATGTAGGTAGTGGCAGGAATTTTCCATTGGCCAAAACAACAGAGACCAGCGGTCGCTTCTTAAAACCCTACATTGCTTGGAACAATTTTAGCAAATCAACACTTCTAATTTATTCTCAAGTAAATACGAGTAGTAAACATAGAGTGTCTGTCAATAAAAAAAGTTATTTTCGAATCAAGGTTGTTAAGGCGCCAAGATAAGGCGAGGTCAGGCACCAATGTACCTTCATATTGCCTAGGCAACCTATATATGTATATATGTGTGTGTATACACACACACACACATATATATGATATACTTATGCATAATATAACCATTTAACCACAAAAAGATATAAGGCACAACATATGAAATAAAAGTCCACACATAATTTGAAAAAGAAAGAAATGTTCAGAAGCATTTAGAAGACCACAAATAACAACACGATTCAATAAAAGTTCATCCGCATCCCGCTGGTTAATGACCCAAACATGCAAGTCTAAAAATTTTCATTGAAGAGGTCATTCATATGGATATCATTATCTGTATATTCATAGACTCAAGGTGACCGTATGGCGACGTAAGGTGATGTAAGGCGACGCCTAGGCGAGAGCCTGAACGCCTTAAGGTTTTCCAGGCTAGGCGAGCAGGCTAGGCGTACATCGCCTTATCGCCTAGGCGACGCGTTACTAACTATGTTGTGAATGCACAATAATAATGGTACAGTTTTCCGAGAAGAAAATAGATGTGCAGGCATCAAACATACTGATTGCGAATTTTATCAGTTCCTCATGTTTGGGTGTATGTGGTATTTGATTAATTGATTTTCCTATTGCTTGCAAAATGCATGAAGTGATTTTTGAGTCCATCCTTTTCTCTCTTTTCTTTTAGTCTTAGATTACCTATTTACCTTTTGAATTTGTTCTGGTTTGACCTTGTCGGTGAAAAATCTAATTGATATTTTTAGGGGGTGTTCAAAATAGACATGACAAGAAACAATATTTACTTGCACGTTGCTTTACACGGGCAGCTTCTCACTTTTTGCAAACATGAAAGCACATTCCTTCGCTGTTTTTGCTTTTCTCTCTATCCAACAGTCCATATCTATTTCAAATCAATTTTTCTTTCTCCATGTAGAGATGGTCAAATGATTGTTGTGAAGCTGTTCGAAGGGATGATTTGTGGAGTAATATATTCATCTGTTAGCTTTATGGGTTGAAGTCAGCTGCTGGTTTAAAATACTAATGGTTTTTCCATGGTTATGCAATATGTTTTTAAATAACATTATGTGGATGATGCCATTTTTTGGCTTTGGGGTGTGATGGAATAAATCAAAATGGATCTTTAAACTGTCTGCACTTCTTTAATTAATGAAGTAGTAGTTAGTCAAGCAGTGCAACTTTTGATGTTGAGCCGGGGGTCTCTTTGGAAACAGCCTCTCTACTTTCGAGTAGGGGTAAGGTCTGCGTACACACACCCTCCCCAGACCCTACTCTTGTGGGATTTAACTGGGTTTGTTGTTGTTATGTGGATGATGCTAGTTTAGTTTTAGGCTAGAGGCCTATTGCACTTTAAAGAATATCATTCAGAAACAACAGTTAGATCTTCTTTTGGTAAGACAGCGCAATCCTGATTTATTATGGAATTCGGATGGGTCCATTTCATATATTCATGGACATGAATGGAAATGATCTCTAGGGATGCATATTGATTCCAATTTCTGTTTTTTTGGTATCATCTTAGCACTGGGCTCATCAAATGTTCAATCAACCTCATCAATCTATAAGTACTTTGTTATATTAGTTTTAATAGTGCATGCTGTTGCTGGATGTGATTCACATATTTTCTATCTGTTTATTTTTATTAGTATGAACTATGAAGCAAATTGATTCTTATGTTTTGTGGATGCAGGCCCACTTAGCTCGGGCTTCTGAAGTTAAGAAATCAATCGAGTGGATTATGTGTCATGTTGATGGCCATTATGCTGCTGATTCGGTAGCTGCTGCAATTGCTCTTGGAGCTGCTGCTGCAGAAACAGCTCAAGAAACAGATAATCATGCTAATAGCTTTCTGCCATATTCTATTCTGAGGAACAGTAACAACACTCCATCAACCCAAGGGAAAGGTAGTGATGTGTCAGCAACATCAAATTTGTCAAGAAATTTTAGGTAAATTATGCAATTTCTAATATGCACTTAAACAAATATGATCATTTTGCCTAAATTGAAAACCAATATCAATGATGACTGAATTTCTTGATGCATTTTGCGATAGTGCTAATGAACTATTTCTCCCCAAAGGCTACTTAATGTATGGATATTAATTTCCATATTGCTACATATTTCAGAGAATTTTGCATATTTTTTTGTGTCCAATGCATATAACTTTTCTTTTGTACCATAACAAAGGAGAAGCCCTATTCTCTGGCCTCATAAGATAGTGCCTACTGATACCTTTGCAATATGGGATGAGACCTATCACCTATCCTTTGTCTGTATAACCTCTTTTGATGCTTTGCCCCTTTAAAAGAGTGAGATTGGTTTGAAAGGTAGCAATCACTGATTTATGCTTCCACTCTTTGTTCTTTTTAAGAATGTGCCTCTTGGGTGGTTGTGAAGTATGTGAAATGCTACCCATGTCAAGATATGGAAGATAGTCCCTTCAATTTCATCCCTCTTTTTGCTGTAATTCTTTGCTGTAGTTGTGCATTTTCAAATACTACATGAAAAGTTTCCATTATGTTTACAAGCACCCTTGTTCTTTACAATTATTTAAAGAATTGATTTTGGCTCTTGCAAAGCCTTTTTATAACTCTTAATCCAATTCAACATGTTAAGGTTTTGTTGAGATATGACCTGACGCCAATGATTGGTAGGTCTGAGTTTGGTCGGATTTCTCTCTATCTGGAATCAGTTAAGGGGTTATTTTCAAAATATTGTGATATTCACTCAAATCTGCTGAACCGTTGGAGTGTTCCCACCCTTATTGTCATCCATATAATTGTAGATTTGTCGAGCAAAATAGGTCCAATGTAGATACTCCCTCCGCCCTAAAACTAACTTCCCGGCTTGACCGGTGGTGATTTTTAAGGAATTGTTAAAAAATTGTGTTGACTTTCCCAAAATGCCCTTCTTCTCCCTCAGCCCAACCTTTTTGCTTTCCAGTAATTGGGTTTCAGTTACCTTAATGAAGATGGATGCCTTAGGCAAATTACAACGAATACCTCACCGGAGCTCATTGCCCTCTGCCCGAGCTTGGATGAACGACACCAGATCTGTGCATTTGCTTCGTGGGAGCCCAATTTCAAGAGCTGACATAGGGACCTCATCAGACTCATCAATTGTCGTTGAAGCTCAGTAATTGTCCGAAATTGTTGGAGCTCTTCAATCGAAGCCGACAGTGAATCCATCAACCAAAAACAAAAATCAAATATAAAATCCAGAAAAGTTCCCTAGTTTTTTCTCACCGATTGAACAAAATGAATGAATAAATTCAAATACCCATTACAATCCTTAAAACCAACAACCAACAAATGCACGATTGTTGGTGTGGATGTTTCCGTCATAAAAAGCGAGCAAAAAACTATTTTCGAAAGCCAAAGTTGGCCGGATGAAAGGACGCCAGGCAGAAATTTTTGCTGAAGGTAACAACCCATGGCTGAAATTTTCCTCAATTGAGAAAGATTCACTATTTTTTGGCTTTGGGGTATGATGGAATAAATCATATTGGCTCTTTAAACTGTCTGCGCTTCTTGCAATTGTGAAATAGCAGTTAGTCAATGCAACTTTCGACGCTCATCATGGGTCATCTGGATACAGCCGCTCTATGTTTTAAACATAGGGGGTGAGACTGCGTACATCCGACCCCCCCCCCCCTTACCCCGCAATGGGCGGGAGCCATTGAGGCACTGGGGTAATGTTGTTGTTGTTTGAAGAAGGAGACAGATGAGAAAGAAAGTGGAAGATGACTTGAGTGAATGAAGATGAGAGGGTGAGAAAGTTTGTTGGGGTATTAATGTCTTTTAGTACAATAATAGTTGCTATTTTAGGTAATGGGAAGATAGTTTAAGGACGGCCCGAAAAGGAAAGTGAGAAGATAGTTTTAGGACAGGGGGAGTATTTATTAGAGATCTGGTTTCTGGGGCACTTTTTCTGTTCAAATATTCTAAATTAAAGACACTAGGAGGTTAGCCCTCTGTACTTGCAGGTAACGTTAAGCTGCTGCCTACTAGATAGTGGAACCATTGTAAGCAAAGGGCCTGTGCTTTTGAACTTACTGCCAGAAAGACCCTGAGAGATCCAGTCCTTCTAGAAAGATTGTGAAAGTTACAGAGAGATACAGTCACCAGAATATTCAGTTCAGTTTAGAATTATTCTTTCAGTTATCCGGAAAGATCCAGGAGAATACAGAAGGATCCAAAAAAATTGATGTTTGAAAAAAAGCTAGACATAACCAGAATGTTTCAAATCCTGAAAGATCCACAATGTTTTACATGAAAAGAACATGCCCTAGCCCCTAGCTAAACAAAGTATCATTTGTATAAATTTTTCCACGATGATAATTTAGAATGAGAACAAGGTATCTTTAGGACTAATAGTACTTCTAAGTCAATCTAATGACTTCACAAAGATCGCATCATAAGGATGATGTGATTGTTCTTGGCTGTTCTGAACTACTGTTATAGCTACTCTCTACAGTTTTCCATAGTTGCTGTGATGGTGTGTGCATTCATGTGTAATTATCAGAAGATTCTTTCCTTTTTATTTTGAGCAGAGCTGATATTTTGAGAGAGAATACAGAAGCTGTATTTGCTGCTTGTGATGCTGCTCATGGGAGATGGGCAAAGATTCTTGGAGTCCGGTCTCCAATTCATCCAAAACTAAGATTGCATGAGTTTCTAAACATATATAACATAACCCAGGAATTCATAACTGCAACTGAGAGGGTATTTCCTTTAATTCTCTTACTATAATACTCCCCCCGTCCCATAAAAAAGTTCAACATTTCTTTTTTTGTTTATCCCGAAAAGGTTCATCTTTCCTTTTGTGAAAGGAATTGTGTGCTTTACACAATTTTTCTCTCTGCACAAAACTCAACCACACTCTTTCACCTTTATTAATGACCATGCCCGGTCAATTGTGGAATCTCATTTCGGAATGGAGGGAGTATAACATTGAGATTTTACATGTACAGCTTTTGGTTGTTATGATGTCATGATATGCTAACAAATACAGATTGGTGGAAGGTTGGGGTATAGTATACGAGGAACACTACAGTCGCAGGCCAAAGGTTTTGTTGAATTTCAACATGAGTCTCGTGTTAGTAACCATCCATTTCTCCCAGGTTTTCCTTGGTTTTGATGGCTTAACCTGTTGGATCTGATCGTATGCTAATAATGTCAGATGGCAAAAATGAAGGCAATACTTGACCAGGAAAACTGGGCTGAGATTGATGTGCCTGTCGAGTTTCAGATGATAGTCACATCACTCTTTTGCTCAGAATCTTTGGTCACTAGTGATGATTCTACAGTTAATGGTGCTGGTGCCCTGGGCAGTGAAGGTTCCCCCATAGATGCACAGCTCTCAAATTCATCAGAAAATATGGAGCAGCATAATTTGGCTGCAACACATCAGGATAATACATCAGGAAGTGAAGCATTGTTAAGAACTGATAGTGGACATGTAGAGACTGAAAATAATTCAGCGAACAGTACTGAACATATTTCAAGGGAACGTGGAAAAGCTTCACCTAGAATGCTTTTTTTCAAAGGAATAGGATATCACATGGTTAACTGGTAAGTAATTCATCTCGAGTCTCATGAACTACACTTTCATCTCTTTTGTTTGTGTCTATATCTAGTGGGGTGGATTTTGGCTAGTAGGCCTTCTCTATCAACTGTTAGAGCAAATTGTTATTTGTTTGATCTTTTCATCCTCTTCTGCTTTGAGCTGCATTTTCTTGTTTTTACATCTCTTTACTAAACTTGCACTTCAAATAAAATAATTGATACTTTATTTTTTTTTCAGTGGACTGATTCTGGTGAAGATGATGTCTGAGTATATTGATATGAATAATAATATGCCGGGGCTTTCTTCAGAAGTAGTTCATCGTGTTGCTGAGATCTTGAAATTTTTCAATACAAGGACTTGCCAACTTGTTCTTGGTGCTGGAGCTATGCAGGTTGACATAATGTATAATAGATTGATGACTTACTGAATTTATTTCTTGCAGTGCTATTAGTTCTCGGTATTAGTGACTAAGAAGTAAAATTGGATCTTTGTTGAATCATTCTGAGTAATAGATTACTACAGGTAGAGCCTGATAAGGACATTGCAATTTATTTAGATAAACAAACCTAGTTTAATCCCACAAGCAGGAATAAACAAACCTAGTTTAATCCCACAAGCAGGAATTGGAGAGGGTAAGATGTATAGACATCTTACCTCTAATCGCGAGAGGTGGAGAGGCTGTTTCATATAAAACATTGGCTCAAAAAAGATAAAATCTAAGTAGGTTGGAAAGAAAGTAAGCAAATCAAATTAATTAAAACAATAAGAAAAACATCAGCAGGCACAGAACACTACACCCGTATGGCCGTACATTACTTGAGGGATGAGACATTTAAGTACAAAAAGAATAAACAGCTACATGTGACCTAAAGCCTCTAAACCACGAGCATGAGATGGAAGGGCTAACTCCCACCTCTCAGATTAGAGTGACCTAAACTAAAGAATCAATTACCCAAAACTTCCTACCTATGGCCATTTCTTTACTTCTATGTGACTACATCCTTCTTGGTCGTATGCAACTTAAACCTATTTGATTTAATTTAGATACTGGGGTTATTCAGATACTACACACAACAATATTTTTAATGAAAGATTGTGTGAACAATTTTCATTATCTTCAAATCATTTGCATTTACTCATACAGTCATACTTCTTAAAGTGTTTGACTGAATTAAATTATACAGGTATCAGGTTTAAAGTCTATTACTTCTAAGCACCTGGCTTTGGCAAGTCAGGTTATCAGTTTCACATATGCTATTATACCAGGTATATGGTGTAATATTGACTAACCTGTTGCTAGCTTCAACACATACCCACATGCATGCATATCTATGTATTCATACATGCATGCATATGAGGATGCTTACCATTTGAGACTTTGAGTATTAGACAGTTTGTCTATTTTTCCTGTTAGTTTCATTTTTTCAAGCTAAAATTTCACAATCAATAGAATCTTATTGATCTTGTCTCAGTTTGTAGAGCATTAAGTCTTGGAGTTTTTTTAATACACCCGATTAACACATTTTCTTGCGTATTTTCTGTACTCCTGAAGAAATCAAGAAGGTGCTATTTCTTAAAGTACCTGAAACACGGAAAGGACTGTTGATGTTAGAGATTGATCGTGTCGCACAGGCAAGGGATCTTTTTCTCTCTCTCTCTATTATACGATTATGTATTTCATTCTAGGTAGTTTTCTACTTGAATAATGCAGGGGTTATGAACTCAAGTACTCAACTGCTCTTTCTGCATGAACTGGGATATTATTTTTGTTTGGGAAAGTATCATTTATCAACTGAATTTTTTATAGTAAATTCTATAAATAGTCCTTTAAAACAGGGTGTTCTCTGTACACACTCCTAAATCTAAGATAATATGTTTGTGATCCTCTATATTTTAGAATTATTCCATGATCAAGTTCTTTGGATCCAAATATGTTTTTACACACATAGTCCATAAAGGACTGATTAGGGAATATCCCAGTCCGTTGTATGCGCCGGTCCCTGATGAGAACCCGTGCGCCTTCCCCGGATCAGGAACATGCCTGAAGAGAGCAATTGCCGTATATCCTGAGATGCGGTAAAATCGAATATGAGAACTTTATCCGGGAGTACAATGAGCGGGTCTGGATCATAGTTATTTAAGGTGCAATGTGCACCGATGCACCAAGGAGGTCTGGAGCTACGATGTGCCATTAATGCGCGCGCTACACGAACATGCGTGCCTTGTGATATGATTACTTATTTTAAAATTATTATTCCCAGGAAAAATGGGCCAACTTTTTCCCCGAGTATATTTCATTCTCACATACAAATAGATTATTTCTGTATAGCAATTTTTTGCTTGAGTTTCATTTTCATAAGCTTTTCTGTTTGTTTTGGATATTTAGGCAGGTATGGTTTTTCAAATATACCATTTGCTTTGTCTCTGTTGAAGTATCTCCTTTCTGATATAAAATTTATTGCACTAATATAATGTAATGCATAAGGGAGAAAGACTAAAGTTGGAGTAAAACATAGGAAAAAAACAAAAATAGGACTTTCATGTTTTTATCCTAGAATAGGACATACAGTGCCAATAATGTCAACATATAATACAAAAAAGTACTGTGGAATGGCAATATACAGTGCCACATTGCCACGGTGTGAAGTCCTATTTTGGGGATAAAAACCCGTCACTTCTATTTTGGGGATAAGGAAGATGTTTTACTCTTGTTTTGGGGGATTTTTTTAATGCATAATCGCCCATTGTCCAATTCCAGTGTGTACATCTGTGTGTATGTCAATGTTTTCATATTCAATGATGAATGTTGAATGGTTGTTTGCCTCACATTATTTCTTAATGAGGTTATAGGATTACAAAGTCCATAGAGATGAGATACACTCAAAGCTTGTACAGATTATGAGGGAGCGTCTGCTAATTCACCTGCGTGGGTTGCCTCAAATTGTGGAGAACTGGAGTAGGCAAGAAGATACTTATCCCCAGCCGAGTCAATTTGCTCGTTCTATTTCAAAGGTAGTGCTTTAGAAGCTTTTACTTCCAACCATTGTGTGCTTAATTTACCTCCTTGTTTATAAACATCGAGGAGGTTATAACTTTTCAGTTCTCAGGTGGTAGTGTATGCACACCATAAAACATTTTCATGATGAATATTAGATTTAAAACTGTAGCCTACATTTGAGATCTATATGTCACCTTAGTTGTGGTAGTTGTTACTCTTTTTGCTGTTTCATAAATCATTACATTTTATTATTCTATTTTTTTTGTTTTTGCTCCAATTTTTCAACTTTAAACTTTACAGTTTCATACCTTTCCATGTATGTGTATCACTGTATCCACATGTTGAAGAAGCTTTAAAAAAGAGACATGAAATGAATATTACCTAGCTTTGAATTTTAGGAAACTTTGTGGGTGACCCTTTGTTTTGTGTTATTTCTTAGGAGTGACCCCCTCATATGTATGCTTCTTAAAATAATCTTGAGGTAAGCTCGAACATCTGCTCTGAGACGGGTGAGTTAATGGATTGACTGAACATGGTGTAGTTGACAGACCCATGGCCTGTCATTACTTCATGCAATGGGCTCATGACATAAACATCACACATTTTAAGCATTTTGTTTCTTGTTATGCGATACAGGGTGTTTCAGTCTACCTCAAGGTTATTTTTAAGAAGTGTGCATAAGCCTCATGAGAAAGTCATTCAGAGAAATTTCCTAAACCTAAGGGTTACTCCACGAAATTTCTCTTAAATTTTTGTTTACTACATTGCTGCATGACGTCCAGACCCTACTCTTGTAGGGTTCAATTGGGTTGTTGTAATTGCTCCATGACGTTTCTCAAACTTGTCTTAATCTTAGCTTGAACAAATCATGTGGCTTTTGAACACTTGATTATGTTCCAGGATTATACCACGTGGACCAAAATTATTTCAGTCTCTAGGCATTGCCTTAAACAATGAACTTTAAACAATGAACTCGTGGTGGGCCAGTCAATTCAGGGTACACAGTCAATGTGATACAACTATATTTATCACATGCCACATAAAGATGAATTTTGACATTTTTGGGCCCCTTCGCTTTATCTCGGAATAACATTTTTGCCTAGGATGTGAATGTGAGTTTTGTTAATAATATGGAAAAGCTTCACTGTAAATTTCCAAGTAAATATTTTATCAAAAGCGCCTGAAAAGAGGTGCAAGCATATCACACAGAAATGCATCCGCAGAAAATCAGACAACCAGACAAAAGCTTTCAGTTTCATTCCCTCGCACCCCCTCCAAGAAAAAGATTACCCCTTGAAGTTTCAACCAGTCCCGATAATAGGTCACGACAACCATGCAATGCGCTCCACACTTAACTTTTTATATGCTCCATATATGCTTTAATGTGATCGATATTCCGTCTTAATTTACATTTTGGTGTTGGAAAATGAATGCTTTTGTCAACATTAGAAATTATATGTTCTTTTTCTCACTATTATATACTCCCATCCCTAAAAGGTTTGCATAGTCTGAGTATTGCAGTCTCCGAGGCAACCATTTTTTTCATAAATCGCTATAATTACGTGTAAATAAATATTATGTATGTTATATTCCGTATATTTTAGAACTACACGTTATTATGTTAAAATGAATCTAACGGTGTTAAGTTCACCTTATAACTTAATGCATATTTAATGCAATTTATAGCGGTCAGAATTTGCAAAGTTTGATTAAAAAAATCAAACAACACAAAGTATTTAGGAACGCAGGGAGTGTGTTTGTGTGTGTATAGACACACACACACGCACAATGTTGTGATTTGTCTTCTATGCTATTCCCGCTCTTAAATTTTTCCCTTCGCTTCATGCATTTATCGAACTAATTTTGCTTGCTTGCTCAATTTTGCTGAAGGAAGTCGGTCTTCTACATCGTGTGTTATCTCGAAGTCTGCACGAAGTAGATGTTCAAACTATATTCAGGTATGCAAGTTGGTTCACTTTCTGACATGCTAGTTGCCAAATTTCCGTTCATGGATTAAATACCCAAGAGAGTAATTCAAGTGAAGTAAAACGCTTTTAGGTTTGGTAATATGGGCGAAATCCAAGAAGGCCAGAAGGGAAATTAGGTTGTTCGACTTACTTTCAATGCTGAAAAAAATCAGAAAAATTCCAGATTTCTTCTCGGCTGTCTGTATTACAACAAACAAAACAGTCTTATTAATACTAAATATTGCTTTACTAAATCCATATAGCAAGTTTTTCAAACCAGGCATAAGGTAATGGGTAGTATGTACACGGTAAGGCCCCTAAATGCCCTAATACTGTGAGTGTAAGTGTTAGAGTGATTACAAAATGTATGGAGGTGGGGATGGGCATCTGTGGCAGCGACTTAAATGGTAGTTTCAGCGACCTTTAGTTTTCGTCATGCTTCTATAAAAAGATTGAACTTGTGTTCTACTTGCAGACAAGTGGTACAAATCTTTCACACTCAAATTTTTGAAGCGTTGTCATCTGTTGACATAAGTAATCATCAAGTGAAAAATAGGTATTGTAGCATCACAATCATATCTTTCCTGACTATTTGTTCATTCTTTAGTTTGTTTTGATGGACTTGTGTTCTATCTTTTGCTGAATCTTGAATGCCACCTGCAGAGTGTATTGCGATGTTCAACATATTCTTGGGTGTATCCGATCATTGCCTTCTGATGAATTGAATAAAACCAATCCGCGTAATTGGGGGCAGCTTGATGAATTTGTGGCACAAAATTTTGGTACAGAAGCCACTTCATAGATTTCTTGTAGAATAGCCATTTGATTGATCCAACGCAGACTTCAATAGAGCAATTGTGGATGCCCGAAGCCTATGCATCAAAACTACACATGACGTGGTAAAATGTGTAATATTTTTTCTTGTGGTTTACTTTTGTCTTTTACTTGTAAATTTTTGTTGTTAGGCTCTATTGCGGTCTATATAGTGTTTGCATCGAAGGGGTAACTGAAATGATAATACGGTGAGTAACTAGACAGTGATGAGCAGAAGATCCAAAAGCATTGTTTCTAAATGTTTTAATTTCTAAAACAAAAAAAAAAGTGGCATTCTTACTAATATACCACTACCTCCGTCCATGAGTATTTGTTAAGTTTTGACTTTTTTCAGTCAATCATTTTTTACCTTTGATCTATAATTAAATAAAATATATATTGTATTTTATTTAGATAAAATAATATTTTGGAAATATTTCATATAATATATCTAATAAAACTTTTTTGTATCAATATCTAATATCATTTTTATTTAATTTGAGGTCAATGTTTACCAATTTTTATAGAAAAAAGTCAAAAGTAGAAAAATACTCAGGGATGGAGAGAGTATCATTCTTACTCCAAAAGAGAATTACTATTGTTCTAAGTTAGGTGTTTCACTTCATTATTTTGTTTCTTTTTCTTTCTTTACTTTTATTAATCATTTGTTTAAATAATATAGTTATCTCACACTTTGTTTTACAGAGAATATGATAATATTCTTTGTCCCTAAATACACTTCCTAGTTATTATGATGACTTTTGTTAGAATGATTTTGTAGATCATTTGATAAAATAAAATATTTTTGTTACATCTTATTTTGTAACAAAAGAGGTGGAATTTTGCATATTGTATAGTAGGAAGTTTATTTAGGGATGAAGAGAGTAGTTTTTTCTTTATTATGGAATAAATTTTATTTTAAAATTTTACTCCGTATACTTATATTTAAATAAATTGGCATAGGTGCCTTTGGGCATCCATGTGTAAAAGTTTTATCTTGCTTTCCATCAGCCAGTCATTGTAAATTTAGTACTTTGAATAAGGCAACTTGGTCTACTTGTTTACGTGCATAAAACTACACATTTGGTTCAAATTGTGCATATTGATGTTTGGGGTCCGTATGAACACCTAGTATGGATGGTCATATGTCATTCTTGAGTTTTATCTTGCCTTCCATCAGCTAGTAGTAGTAAAATAAGTACTCCCTTTGTCCCATTTTAAATTACCTGTTTGCCTTTTTTTTTCGTCCCAAAATAAATTGTCTGTTAGTTGTTTTCGTAAACTTTTAAAAATAAAATACCTAAACTACCCCTAAAATAAGTCACTCTTCTTCACCTTATCTTCTCATTCATCATCACCCTCTTAAAAAGTAATGTCAATTTTGAAAGATCAACTCTATTTTTTATTTTTCTTAAATATGCCCAAAAGTCAAAACATGCGATTTAAATTGGGACGGAGGGAGTAGTTTGAATAAGGCTTGTTCTCTTCACTTGATCGGATTGGTTATGATTTGATTAGAATAAGTTTTGATTTGGTTTGATGTAATTTAATCTGATTCCATTAAGAATAAGTAATACAATAAGTTGGGGAGAATATGGCCTAAATCACCTTGCTCTATTTGTTTACATCCTAAACAGTCTCGTGCATGTTTTCATTTGAGTAATAATAAAACTACGGAATGGTTTCAGATTGTGCATATTCATGTTTGGGGTCCATATTGAACACCTATATGGATGGTTATGCGTCTTTCCTGATTATTGTGTATGATTACTCACGTGGTACATGGGTGCACATTTTGCGTGCCAAGTATGAGATTTCTCTGATTTTCTGTCAATTTTGTGACATGATCGAAAGACAATTCTCAAAGAAGCCAGAAACAATTTGTAGGCATAATGGTAAAGAGTTTAAATGTTTTTAGAAGTTTTTTAGAGACAGTTGTATATTAAATGAAACGTATTGTCGTGGGACTCCGCAATAAAGTTGACATGTAGAACTAAAACACTGGTAAATGCTCAATGTTGCTCGTGCTCTTCGGTTTCAAGCGTTTCTTCCTATTGATTTTTAAGGAAAATGTATTCTTTCTCTTGCGTATCTCATCAACCAAATACCATCCAAATTTTTGACTGTGAAAACACCTTATGAGATTATGTTTGGTGAATTGCTAGCCATATCCCATATTTGTGCATTTGGATGCTTGAACTATATTCACAATTAGGATTGTGGTGGTGATGAATTTGAACCTCAAAGTCCAAAAGGTGTTTCTATGGGCTTTTATCATGGCAAAAAGGGATGTCGCGTGTATTGTTGAGATATTGGAAAGTTTAATGCTCTCTCCGTCCCAATTTATAGTACTACCTCCGTCCCATTTTAAATTACCTGTTTGCCTTTTTTCTCCGTCCCAAAATAAGTTGCTTGTTAGTTGTTTTCGTAAACTTTTAAAAATAAAATACCTAAACTACCTCTAAAATAAGTCAATCTTCTCCACATTATATTCTCATTCATCATCATCCCTCCTAAATAGTATTGACAATTTCGAAAAATCAACTCTATTTTTAATTTTCCTTAAATATGCCCAAAAGTCAAAACGGGCGATTTAAAACGGGACGGAGGACTATTTCGGTTTACGATGTTTGACTGAAATTATTTTCAAATCATTTTATATGTCAAAGAGTACAGAGTTAAAAAATAAAAATTACATATTAAAAACTACATCAAAAGATCTACAAAACTAGTAGTGACAAAAGTATTTATTTTATCAAATTGCTAACGAAAATAGAGATATAAAATGAATAAAATTTGACCTTGTGAATATAAGTAGGCATTATAAATTGGGACAGAGAGAGTACTATGTATTTCTTGTGATGTGATCTTTTGTGAATCTGTATTTTATTTTGTTTTTTATTTTAGGATTTTTATCTGTCACCTCCAATGGATAACGCTCTAGCTTTTGGTTTTCTTGATGATGATACCGATGTCACAACCAAGCATGTCATGGGGGGGGGGGGGGGGGGGGG